CAACTTTCTGGCTTCTGCTGTAGGGTTTAGGGGTTTAGGGGCCCAAATGGCTACAAATACCGCACCCAAACCCGGTTTAGGGTTTAGGGTTTAGGGTTTAGGATTTCGGTTCTAGGTTCAGGGCCGACCTTAGACCGAACCCTCCAACTGCTGGAGTCAGCACGGTTCTACCAGGTTTAAGGGTTTTTTATTGGGTCGGTTTATGGGGTGTTTAGGTAAAGAAAGCTTAAACCCTACGACCCCAAATCTCAAACCCTGACATCCTGAACAACTACACCTGAAGGTTTCAGGGAATTTAGGATTTTAGGCTTCAGGGATTTAGGGTTCAAGGAATTTAGGGGTTAGGGTTTTAGGGTTCAGGGAATTTCGGGCTTTAGGGTTCAGGGATTTTGGGGTTTCAGGGATTTTGGGGTTTAGGGTTCTAAACCCTGAGCCCCAGCCCTATGCGTGTAGGGTTTTAGGGTTCTCAACACTGAGAAACCTCGAGATGCCCAGGAGCCCATCACTAAACCTTACAGGGTTTAGGGTTTAGGGTTTAGGGTTTAGGGATCCCTAAACCCCTAAGCCCTAAACCTCATAGATCCCTTTTAGGATCCCTAAACCCCTGCTTCAGGAGCCCATCACCTTTCTGACGCCGGGGAAGGCGCCAACCTCCCCCGGTGCCGCGGTCGCAGAGGGTTCAGGGTTTAGGGTCTCGGTTTAGGGTTTGGGGTTTAGGGTTTACGGTTTAGGGGTTTAGGGGTTTAGGGTTAGGGTCTGGGGTTTAGGGTTTGGGGGTTCGATGCCTGTGAGAGGGTCTGCGAGTGCAGTAATGTAGGGGCCTAAAGAATTACCTATACTATTTTTTGGGGGGTTTCCTTGTATAATGGGGCCCAAAACCCTATTCTAATGATTAAGGCCCCTATATTACCCCATAAAGCCTCTAGCCCTAAACTCTAAGCCGTAGAAAAGAGACCTCATCTGAGGAAGACTGTGATAGAAGTTTGCGATAATCATGCTTGTAAAGAGACCCGAAAGACCTCTAGGTATTACGTTCTTTTGGGCTGGTATTAGGTAGACATGGAAGACGCTTTGACGAGGTCGATGAAAGGGCCTGGTGCCTGCAGCCTGATCCTTTTGTCTCAGGAGCAGCTTCGTTTGCAGCTCAGGCAGCAGGCGTCGGGGCCCAGGCCTCGCACCAAGCTTTTTCCATGGAAGCAGAGCCTTCTGCGCGTATTTCCCCGCCAGGGAATCCTTTGCCGTCGTCAGGACCTCTGTCGCAGACTTCTGAAGGAGCACCCGATGCGACGGAACCACGGCAAATGTCTGTCCGTGCAGCAGGCATGAATTTGAGCCAGCTCGAGCAAGATGCAGCAGTTGCTGTGGTGAGTGCCGGAGCTGTGGGCTCGCTGGCAGTCCCTGTCACAGCTGTCACCAGCGACAGGGTGAGCCTTGCCACTGTGTTGCGATTGGCCGAAAGGCGTGTTGTCCAAGTCTTCGAAGATGACTTTGGCGAATGGCTGGTGCACATTGCAGCACCTTTCCTCCTCCACATGACCTTACACTGGAAGCAACCTGTGCCCTTGTCGCATGCCCAAGTGCCTGCCCGGGTGGCACGGGGAGAGACTTGCGTTCCGCCCCGGGATGCAAGAGCACTGAATTGAACTATGCAGTACCGTAAACTAGCATAACGTATGTTTACTACTTGTAGGTTCGTATTATATACCTTAATAGAGAATTTTCAAGGGACCCTGCTAAAAGCTAGAGTTTGGCGCTAGTTCAAGGTAGCAATACACAGGCGGAGCTCAGGGTCCCGAAGCCAAAGCCAAAAACTCAAATCCTGAACTTCCTGAACCCTAAACTCACTTAGGGCCGCAACCCTAAACCCTTAAACCCTAGACCCTAAAACCGTGAACCCTTAGAGTAGTGTTGAGGGTAGGCTTAATGGCTTCACTGAGCGCCGGAGCCGCTGCTTGCGGAGAGTTTAGCCCTACTTGGAGGGTCGGAAGACTTAGTAAGTAGGTAATAAGTAGACTTATAAGTACCCTAAAAGGGACCCTAATTGGGGTCATAGTACTTATAAGTCTACAAAACAACCATTTACTAAGTCCCCCGACCCTCCAAGTAACCATCAGACCCGAAAGCCAAAAGCTAAAGCCTAGCTCGATTTAGGGGTTCAGTGGTATTACGGTTTAGAGTTTAGGGGTTTAGGGTTTAGGGGTTGTAGGAGCCCTGAACCCTAAACCTCATACCCGGGACTCTAATATAAATAGGGCTTGTGGGTATATTCTACTATAATTACAATAAGGAGCCCCCAAAACCCTATTCTACTCATTAATGCCCCCACTATTGAACCCTATCACGCATCTCTTATCGAACCCTTTAGAGATCCCTTAAAAAGGGACCCTAGTCTAATTATTAAGGCCCCTAAGCCCTAAACCCTAAACCCTGTTCGAATCGTTGAGGCCCGCTAAACCCCGAAACCCTAAAGCCCTAAACCCTAAACCCCTAACCGCTAAACTCCTAAACCCTAAACCCCTAAACCCTAAACCCCCCATCTTTGAATGGTTCAACTTGCTCAGGTTTCGACCTGGCTCATACACCAAAGCGCTCCATGCTGCTCTGCAAGCTTACAGACCCTGGTGATCTTCAGGGGTCGTAGGGTTTAGGGGTTTACATAGGGCGTAGGGGGTTTGGGGTTTAGGGTTTGGGGATTTGTCGGTCTACGGTTTAGGGGCTTAGGTTTTGGTGTTTAGGGTTTAGGGGCTCAGGTTTTGGTTCAGGGTTTAGGGTTCAGGGGCTTAGGTGTTGGTTTAGGGTTTAAGGTTGTACGGTATGAGGGCTCAAGGACCCAACTTGGACCCATAGGGCTGGGGTTTAGGCTTTGGAAACTAAACCCTAAACCCTAAACCCTAAACGCTTTGGAGACTGTCAGACTTCAAGTCTCAGCAAGACTCATCTCACATGCGGCGTGGACTGATTTTTCAAGGGACGAAAGGAGGGACCGTTAAAGGGACGCTTGGGGTTATATAGGGGCTTTAAGAGACTATATAAGGGGTATATAGGGGTTATATAGGGTATTTGGATTAGGGGTCCCTTTTAGGCGTCCCTCCTATTGTCCCTTAAGTTTTGGTACTCGCAATCCACCATTTGGCGGGCCGTTCTGAGTGGCCCTTCTAGCATATGCATGCTTGCATGCTGGTCTTTCAAGTGAGCATGGCTATTACAAGGAGGTCAAAGTAAAATAGTGGTTATCCGTGACTCAGAGTAAGAAGTCGTAAGCTGCATCCATGTTGACTGCATAAGGTAGCAGGGCTTGGTGGGCTTTAGGGGTTTGGGGTTCATGGTGTGACGGGGTTTGGGAGGGCCTTAAAGCGAAACTTCAAGCACCTATCGGGATCGATCGCTTGGGGCTTTCATGTCAGAATCCGAGCAGGGCTTTAGTTGACTTAGTTTTTTATTCAGGACGACGGTGGGGGTCCGGATCCGGAGTTCCAGGATACAGGGCGTGAGGGTTTGGGGTTTAGGGTTTAGAGTGGGGTGTAGTGTATATGGCTGTATAAGGTGCTTTCGGGCATTGGGTTGTTTTTTTTTTTTTGTTTTTCCGATCTTCTCGTGCTGCGCTTGTCGTTCTAGAACCCGAAACCCTAAACCCTAAACCCTGAACCGTAAGCCCTAAATAAATCCTAAGCCCTAAGCCCTAAAGCACCCGAAGCCCTGAACCCCAAACCGTAAACCCTAGACCCGAAACCCCCAAGAAAGCCCCCCCCCAAAAGCCCAAAACAGCACCAATAAAAAAGAAGAAAGGTGGTCCTAAACCCTAAACCCTAAACCCTAAACCCTAAACCCTAAACCCTAAACCTTAAGCCCAAAACACCAATAAAAAAACCTAGACCCTAAACCCTAAACCCTAAACCGTCTCGGAGAGCAGAGAGACATCTGAGGAGCTATGGGGCGCCAATCTTCCCACGCCCGGCTGAGAGGGCCGGTTAGGGGTTTGGGGTTTGGGGTTAGAGGCTTTGGCTTTAGAGATTTCGGGTTTGGGGTTTAGGGTTTAGAGGTTTTGGGGTTAGAGGCTTTGGCTTTAGAGATTTCGGGTTTAGGGTTTAGGGTTTAGAGGTTTTGGGGTTAGAGGCTTAGGGTTTAGAGGTTTGGGGTTAGAGGCTTAGGGTTTAGAGGTGCGGGTTTTTTGCTTTAGAATTTAGGGGTTCAGGGTTTAGGTTTTAGGGGTTAGAGGTTCCCTAAACCCTAAACCCTAAACCCTAAACCCTAAACCCTAAGCCCTAAACCCTAAAGGGTTAGGGAGTTCGAGTCGGAGCTGAGAGTTGAAGCTTTACATCCCAGCCCTAAGAGTGCCAGAACTTGCCTTCTTGGATGATACGGTTTTTAAGGGGCTTAGGGTTTAGGGTTTAGGGTTTAGGATTTAGTGTTTAGGGTTTTTGGTCAAGGTTTGGGGTTTAGGGTTTAGCGTTTTTTGTGATATAAATCCTGCATCACCCATATTGAGGTATATTACATTGGCCTCAAAGTGCCTATATAGGGAGTACCTTAAGGCCAAAGTATGTACTACGGTTGATGATATAAATCCTGCATCACCCATAATAAGGACCCTAAACCCTAAACCCTAAATAAGGAACATACCATATTCCCATAGGGGTAGGGTCCCTAGGGTAATGCAGGATTTCTATCATCAGCAGTAGTTCAAGGCAAGCCCGGAGCTCATGCAAAAAGCTTTCAAACCCATGGGGTTACCCTGAACCCTAAACCCTAAACCCTAAACCCTAAAGTTTAGGGTTTAGGGTTTAGGGTTTCGAGGCTCAGGGTGTGCGGTTTATCGGGTCTCCCAGTGGGCCCTTTTTTCCCTTTTAGAAGTCTCAGGTTCCTTACAAAGGTAGGAGCCCTTTTTTGATCCTAGGTTACTGGGCATCCCAGCTTAGTGCTTCGAGATTCGGGGTGGAGACAGAACAGGCAGAAGCCCTGAACCCTAAACC